TCTGTCCCTAATACTCCATCACTGCAGGACAGGTAAAAACACATAACAGGTCCAGATGTGACATAGGAGCTGTGTAGGTAAGAGATTTCTCCACCTAGAGGCTTAAAGCATTTTGCTTTCTTAATTTGAACACAACTAGGAAACAGGACAAGTCTTGGTGGTATTTTGTATGTACGCTCAATTCTGACTTGGCAGCCAGCGTCTCTTTGACACACAATAGACAGACAAGAACTAGTCATAGAATACTCTGAAGTGGAGCTCAGGTCTTCCACTACTCTTACTTTGAAGAAGGTTCACCAAATGGGTCTTTATTGGCTGGTTCCTCTGTTACATTCCCATCATGCATGCAAATATGCTCTACTTTAGTTGATAGTTTCACAAGCTGTGCTTTACATTTTACTAGTTAAAACTAGTCATCATATGGTATCGAACTTTCTGGGGAGCAGTCTTTCCTGCACTGGGTCAGGCTGGTTTTGGAGTTTTTGTCCTGTGAAAGTGACACCAGATTTTTGAAGGTAAGGTTACTTTCAAGTATAATATAAGCTCTGGAAGGATTTCCCAACCCTGAAAGGCTTTGAACATGGTTTAGCATCAGAATAACAAGATATTTTGATATACTGAGGATTCTTATTATTTTGTACATGTTTTTATATTTATTTGAACATATTTAGCATACATTTTATTTTTCTTATTTAGTATCTATTTTGAATGTACCAAATATACATATCCTGTCTCTCCCAGATGAATATAAGTTCCTTGTGGGCAGGAACTATTATTTTTTTTGTCTACATATATATATAATATACATATGCAGCTGGACAATTGTCTTATCTCTCCAGATTTCTCTCATTTTATAGGTCATTTTAAAGCTCTGTTGTTCTCCCAGTATGAATTTACAATTTCCTTTGAAGTCTCTTCATTTGCTGCTCAGCTGATGGCCATGACCACAGGTTCCATCTAAGGCTGTGAGTAGCTGCTCATCTCCACTAGGAGTCCATCCACTGGGGGAGGTGAGAAGAGCCCTGTACTTGGAATCAGAAAACATGGGTTTGAATTCTGGCTCAAAAGTCCCCCCAACAAACCCTTATTGAGTACCCTTCAACAAATCACTTAACAATAATAGCTGGTATTTATTCATATGGGCAGTTAGGTGGTGAAGTGGATTAGAGCACTGGGCCAGGAGTCAGAAAGACCAGAAAGGCCAGAGTTCAAATTTGACCTCAGACACTTACTAGTTATGTGACCCTGGGCAAATCACTTAACCCCTACCTGCATAAAACTGGAGAAAGAAGTGGAAAGCCACTTCAACATCCTTACCAAGAAAACCCCGTGGACAATTGGTCCTTGGGGTCACAAAGTCAGAAATGACTGAACAAGAACAATTTATTTATATTACATTTCTCACTCTCCTTCACCCCCACCTATTCAATGAGTTGTCAAGTCTTGATAATTTTACCTTTTCAATACCTTTCACATCCACCACCTTCTGTCTTCTCACATAGCTACCATCCTATTTCAGGCCCTCAGCACTCCTCTGGACAATGGCCATTGTTGCCCAATTGTTCCCTCTGCCTGACTTTATCCCTCTTGCTAATCTATTCTCCATGAAGTTGCTACAGTGATTTTCCTAAAACATTGATCTGACTGTGCCATGGGATCGTAGATCTAGAGTTGGAAGGTATCTTAAGGGTATTAGAGTCCAATCTTCACATTTTACAGATGAGGAAACTGAGCCTAAAGAGATAAAGTTACTTGCTGAAGGTCACACTTTTGCAATAAGGGGCAGACCTAGGATTTGATCTCAGGTCCTCTAAGTTTCTCATTCTTTCTACTCTACTGTATGGTCTCCAGTGGTTCTAGAATTGTATACAAACTTATTTATTTGGCATGCAAAGCCTTTCACAATGGGCCTTCATGCTAGCACATGACAGTCCATCTCCTGTCTCCTTGCCTTTGACAGGCTGTCCTCTGTGCCTGGAGTACACACACCCTCCTCACCTTGGCCTAGAAGAATCCCTGCTTTCCTTCCAAGCTCAGCTGAAGTGCCACCTATGAGGTCCTTCTTGATATTCCTCCCCAACTGCTAGAGCTTCCCCAACGACTGTATTTATTTTATATTATATTGTGTCTAACCTAGTAAAATGTAAGTTCACTGAGGGCAGGGACTGCTTCATTTTTGTCTGTATATCTCCAATGCCTAACACATAGTAAGTGCTTAATAAGTGTTTGTTGAGTGATAATGTTATTTGATCCTCACAACAAACTGTGGTGTTAAATACTCTTGTTATCTCCATTTTATTGAAAAGGAAACTGAGTCTCAGAAAAGTTAAGTGACTTTCCTAGGGTCTCACATCTAAAGAGGGTCTAAGGTGGGATTTGAATGCAGGACTTCTTGATTCTTAAGTCCATTACTTTATCTGCCATGCCAGGCTGATTCTTTCCTTACTTTTTTGGTCCTCAGCTGTGAAATGAAGAAATTGAACTGTGTGAATGCTTAGATACCTTCGAGTTTTAGCACCTGAAAGTGTTCTCCCCCTCAACTTTTTGTAGGGAATTTTGTTTTGGATCCGTGATGCTCTATCATGCTTTATATTTTTTGTAGCATCAGTGATTCATAGCTCCCAAACTTCCCACTAGAATGTAAGCTCCTTGAGGGCAGGCTCTGTATCTTATATTATCTGTATAACCCCTTGTGCATAACAAGTACTTTTTTGTACAGATAATAATAAATATTGTTGAATATGTATGATAGATCTTGGGCCTAATTCATTATTTAAAAAAACCTTTTGTCCTTAGAATTAAATCAGTGGCTATATGTGCTACCAGGAGACCAAAGCTTTTTAACTTAAAATCTGAATGAGTTCTCCAACTAACTTAAGTGGATCAAAATGACCTTTATACAACCCAGGGATTTTTTTTCTGCTCTAGCATAAAGAAATGATGACGAAACTTACACACAGTTTTACTTTCCTATTCACTTGTTCTGTTTTCCCTGATTCTTTCCTACTGCCGCCATAGCAACTTATTTAGAAAGTTGTATTGCTGATACCTTCTACCCCTGGGCAGGGATTGGAGTACGATTAGGCACAGATAATTTCTGGGGAAGGATAATTGGTGTGAGTTAAACCCTTGTTTGTCTTGGTGTAACCCATAGCAGCTCTGAGGATCTGTTTCTTATCCTCCATTCTCCAGACTATTCTTAGATTTCAGAGTAGGACGATTTCTCCCCATTAAGGTTCTAGGGGTGCCCCTGAGAAGTTGGAGACAACTTTCTAATGTCATCAGCCCCTACCAGTATGCTTCCCCAAAAGATTATCAGTGAATTATCAGTTTAGTCAGATAACCTTAAAGTAGCTTTTATGAGAAAATGGGAAGTTCAGCACCCTTCAGACCCTTCAAAGCTTGTGAGGTCTTCCTCTGGCCCAAAGGGTGGTAGCAGATATCCATGGTGAAGCTGAAACCAAGACCTCTTTTCTTTTCCCCAAGGTAGTTTTTAAGGATGGCCAAGGCATCCTCAGGAGTTTGCTGGAACGTTGTTCTCCTGCTTTTTGTTTTGAGCTACTTGCTAGACCTCCCTGAGTCCAGCCAATTTTATGCTTTTATGTAGGACCCAGAGGATGTGAGAAAATCTTTCAGCCAATTAGAACAGGTTTCCTGTCTGGCTTTTATCCACTGGCTTTCAAAGATTTTCCCTACTTATTCCTGAGTCTACATTTGGGATTGAAATAATTTCAGAAAATTACATTTTTTTCATCACACAGTCTTAAGAAAGCGCTTTGTAAGATCTGTAAAATGCCACGTAAATGGGAAAATTTGAAATCATATGAGATCTAAAATGGTGTACATTTGTGGGTCATCATAATGCTTGAGTTTCTATTTTTTTTCCCATTTGTGTTGTTGTAGTCATTGTGTTGATTGTTTTCCTGGTTCTGTTTACTTCACTTGTATTGGTTCGTACAAGAATTTCCAGGCTTTTATATTTGTTCATATTCATTGTTTCTTATAGTACAGTAATAATCTTCTGTTATGTTCCTATACCATCTTTTGTCTAGCTATTCCCTCAATCTATGGGCACCCGGTTTATTTCCAGCTCTTTGTTATTACAAGTAGTACTGCTACAGATAGTTTGGTAGACAAAGGATCTTTCTTATAACCTTTGACCTCTTTGGGGTTTATGACCAGTCATGAAATCTCTGGGTCAAAAGCATGGATGTTGTAGTCACCTTTTTAGAATTTTCCCAATTTTTTTTTTTTACTAGAAGGAATGGATTTATTCATATCTCCACTTGCAGGGTACTGGTATGCCTGTCTAGGAAAGACTCTTTATAAGAGGGAAAGTGATATAATTGAGTTACATTCTTTAAATATTTAAACAGTATATATTATGTGTAATATACACTGTATGTCTCTGGAGAAGATACAAAGATAAATAAAACAATATCTCTCTCAAGTAGTTTATAATCTAGGAGACCCATACATAGATCCTCACACTATAAATTATAATGTAATAAATGCATGAGGACAATAAAATGTTGAGAGAGCAGATAATGATAGCTAACATTTATATAGGACTTTAGGTCTTGAAAGGGGCAGCTAAGTGGTACAGTGGATAGAGTGCCTGGCCTGGAGTCAGGAAGACCTGAGTTCAAATCCAGCCTCAGACACCAGCTGTGTGACCCCAGGCAAATCACTTAACTCTGTTTGCTTCAGTTTCCTCATCTGCAATATGAGCTGGAGAAGGCAATGGCAAACCACTCTAGTATCTTTGCCAAGAAAATCCCAAATGGGGTCATGAAGAGTCGGAAATAACTGAAATGACTCAACAACAAGAAGTCAGGTCTTGAAAACCTTCTCACATACTATCTGTTTGATGGAGAGATTACTTTTGCACCAGGGAAGGTTCTGTGCAGAAAGTGGCATTTGAAACTTTATCTGGTTGCTCTTTTTTTTAATGTTGTTTTTACAACTTGTCTTTGCTTCTCTTTTCAAATTTTCCCTAGGACATTCATTTATGCCTTCCTTACCAGAGGAAGGCCCTTCCCACTAGCAACATTTATTTGTGCCCTTATCTTCTGTACCCTGAATGGCTTCCTTCAAGGATACTATTTAATTTACTGTGCTGAGTACCCTGATGAATGGTTCACTGATGTCCGATTTACTTCAGGTAATTACCAACTTTACTCCAGTTCCATTTTGTAATTCATTGTTTGTCACTTGCTTCTTTCTGCTCATGAAAGAATGCACCAGTAATCCACTGTCTTCTGGGTGGCCTTGCTTTTTAATTCTTTGAAGATTATAGTGATCCATGACTTGCAGCTGTACAACTCCAGAATTGGGCTGTTAAAAACATGGGCCTTTGTTCTGGGAGAAACTGGAGGTCGGAAAAAGAATTTTGCCATTTCCCAAAATCAATCCAGTTGCTCTCCTTCTCTTTCTGTTCAATTATGGGCCCAAGCTATCGCTCCTTTGTGGTGTCTGTCCCAAATATCTATCTATCTATCTATCTATCTATCTATCTATCTATCCATCTAGGTACATAGTAGCCTCGGATGGGGAAGTGCCTATCTATAGATACAGATAGATATTAATATCTTTCTATATAATAGATATCTACATTTATATTATATACATAGATAACTATCTCTTTATTATGAATATATTATGTAGAAATAGGTACAAAGATAGTTACCTATATCTGTTATAGATATCAATATCTCTAGAGATACACTTATCTATATTATAGATCTAGATCTATATCAATAACTATATTATAAATATAAATCTCTATAGAGATACTGTTATTTCTTGAGATATTGATATCTATAACATCTCTACATATTTTATTTGACTAACCTCGTAAATATAGATATATAAGGTTACAGCTATATAGATAGCTCTAGATATATTATGTCTATATAACATATGTGATGCACATACATGTATACACATAAATATGTATGTATACATACATATACATACATACATACATATATAAATGTATATGTGTATATTTGTGATTATGTGTGTGTGTGTGTGAGCGTGCATGTAAATAAAACAAGTACTCTGGCCTTATTCTTTGTGAGTCATGGTTGCCTAGTGTCTTTTGAACACACCACTAGCTCCCTTTAAGCAGCCAATCAGAAAGGCCTTTCTTCATCACTTAATAAGCAGATTGAAAACAGTTACAAAATACCTATATGTCTTACAAAGTCTTGCCAATATACTTCTTTACATGTCATCATGTATATCTAGAAGTAGGTTCTCCAGACTCTTTTCTTTTCCTTGCACCCTTCTTTCCTTCCTTCCTTTCTTCTTCCCTCCCTCCTTCCTTCCTCTTCCCCTATCTTCCTTCTTTCCTTCCTCTTTCTTTCTATCTATCTATACATCCATATGTATACATAAACTAAGCAGTAAGGAACACCTATTGCTTGAATTATGATTTGCAGTTCGATAGACAACCTATAGAACTCATCTATCAGTATATACATATATGCATACAAACTAGGGCATGCATATCCACATATATGTTTGTATGTATGTATGTGTGTGTGTGTCAAACTAGGGCATGCATATCCACATATATGTTTGTATGTATGTATGTGTGTGTGTGTATATATACATATATATATATATATATATATATATATATATATACTAATGGATGCATTCTATAGGTTTGCCCATTGAACTTCATATCATAGTGTTGGCAATAAATGGTATTCTTCATCTGCTTGGTTTCAGATGAGAAAAAAGAAGATGGGCTGGTCATGAGGCAAGAGTGAGGCATAACCTATGTATAGCCTATATGCTCCATTAGTATTCTCATAATATCAAAAGAAGGTGAGAAAGGAGTGATCCCCCCATCCCCATGGCAAAACTATAGGTAGACATAGATACCTGTCACACTATATGGGCAGGTATGAATGAACTGTCATTTGTATTGCTTGATGGAATACACACATTGATGAGATCACAGGTCTTTCTAATTATATGAGTATAAAATTAGAGACTTACCTGTAAGAACCAGCATGCCACCTGAACCTTTAAGGAATTTGCTCTTATTGGAAGTTGTATTAAAGTTTGGTTAAACTCAAGCATCAGTTCAGACTTATTGGACCAAGGATTTTAGGCATTATGGAGCTCATGACGACAGGCATGCCAGTGGCATACTTTAGTTTCTGCCAAAGTTTTTCAGGATGGGTGAGTGTGTTGAGAGGGAAGGCACAGACTGTTACTGTTTGGTAGACAGTAGAGGTTGGATAGAAGCATTGGTTGAGAAGTATTTGACTTTAGGCACAGAAATGGATCAGAAACAGAATCACAGCATTGTCATTTAGAGCCGGAAATGACTTTTGAGAGAATTTTGTGTAAGCCCTTCATTTCATAGATACAGATGACTGGCTTGAGGTCACAATGGTGACCTGATTCCTAGCTCAGTGCAGCTTAGGATCATATTTAGAGATGGAAGGATCTTCATCTAGTTCATCTAGTTCACCCTCATTCTTTTACAGATGAGGAAATAGAAGCCCAGAGTGGTCAAGCAACTTGCCCAAGGTCACACAGGTGGTATTTGAATCTAGGTCTTCTGACATTACTTGTGACTGTAAGGAAAATGGAAGGAAATGCAGATATTTCCTTGCCTTCCCAAATCTCTTTCCATCCTTCTATTTGCTTCCATACAATGGAGTTCCAGGGTTGTAGGAGTAGGCATATCTAGCTGTTTTTGTTAAACTGTCTTTTCTTACGGCCTGATGCTTTTCCTTATATCAGCAGAGTGAAGGTCATGGGGAGAGGTGAAGTCGAAGATATTTGTGGTTTGCAGTATCGGCTTAGGGAGGCTTTTCCTACTTTGGCGTTTCCCAAACTAATCTGCCCCCCCTCCCCTGCCCAATATATTTAGCTTTCCTTGAAATAGCTGATGCTCATTTAGGGGATATTGTGATATGAGTTTGCTCTGTATTGTTTTTTGATTCACAGCCATGATTTCATTGTCATAAGGACCTCCCACTGCAGAAACTTCCTTCACCAAAGGAAGTCACCACTTTCTTAGAAAGCCACCTAGAACACTAAAAAGTTAAGTGACTTGCTGAGAGTCACACAACCAGTAGGTATGAGAAACAAGATTTGAATACAGGTCTTCCTGGCTTCAAGGCTGACTTTCTACTCACAATATCATATTTCTTCTTGACATTGAATTCCCTGGGGATGAAAGGGGAGTCAGAGAAAATATTGGTACAAAATAGAGGAGGTTGAATTCTCTTTTGTTCTGAAAAATTGCCGCACATAATGTCTTTTTAGACATGCATACTTTCATATTTAATATCTGGAAAATATTGGAGAATGAAATCAGCATTTAGAAGTGCCTGTCTTCTATTCAGGAAGACCTGGGTTTGAATCCAGCCTCAGACTTTTTACTTTCTCTGTAATCTTGAACAAGTCACTTAAGGCCTCTAGCCGTCAGTTTCCTCATCTATAGACTAGGACTGATTATACCTGAAATACTCGTCTCACAAGGTCGGTCAGGAGGCTCAAATGAGAATAATGTGTGGAAGGTGTTTTGCCAACTTTAAAGTGGGACATAAATGATTGTAAATAAATGAGCCCCAGGTCTTTAAAAGGCACTGATTGGCTAACTGCTGCTTTCTTGAATCACTCTTTTTATCTGTCCATTACAGCAATGCCAGGCATCTCAAAATACAGGGCCTGGGACAATAGCCCTGATTTGCGATACCCTGGGGTTGGCTCTGGTCATAGAGGCTAACTGAGATTTAGATATTTTTCTGCAATCATTTAACTAATGTATCCAAGTTTGAAGATCATAGCATCTTGAATTTTGTACCTATTATTTGCTTTCTTTGCTTAGGTATCCTTTTATTTTTCTTGGGAATGGCAATCAACATTCACAGTGACTATCTATTGCGCCAGCTCAGAAAGCCAGGAGAAATTTCCTATAAGATTCCACAAGGTAAAAATTATCATTTATTTTCTTTCCTCATTCCTAAGGTTTTGAGACACGTTAATTAGTTAATTAGTTAATTCATCATCAGCCAGTCAGTCATTCAACAAACATCTACTAAGTGTCTACTGTTGCAGTGTGAGAGGTTGAGAGTTTGTGACTCCTCAAAGACTGAAGTACATGGGTCATCTGGCATGAATTCACAGACTCAAGCATTCTTTAAGCCAAGGTGGCAAAATTTATTGTTACGCTTTTCAGCGGGCAAGGATTCTTAAAGGATCCTGCAACCTTAGAGAGGTACAGTTAAAGTTTATATAGGATAAAATACAATAAAACATGTGCCAAATATGCTAACTAGATGATTCAGGTGGGTTAGGGAGTGGTTAAGGAGTGGTCAGTTCTTAAAAGAACATGTACTTCTTGAACCTACTGAGCAGGCGTTTTACCCAGAGTTCACTGGGAAAAGCCCACAAGGGGGGCACATGGAGGTATGGTTTTAGGCCTGCTACATCACTAAGTCAACTAGAGTTCAGGGTAACTGAGAGCTGTCCAGTCTGCCACCAATCAATGTCTTGTTAGACAAGATAGATGTAGGGAGTTATACATATGGCTTAAGTCTAGAATACAGTTAATGAGGAGCCCAGGATGTAGATAATGAGGTAGGGTGGTAAGATAGTATAGTAGTGAGTAAGAATGTCTTTATGACCCAGTGCAAAGCCAGTTTAAACTAATAAATCCTTCAGGTGCTGCTTGGAACTGCACCAGGGAGAGAGACATGGGTCTTGCTGGGGCCCACTCATGAGTAATTGCTAGGCACAGGGTCCTTGGGCTGGGGAGAAACTGTCAGGGACAGTGTTTCTGATGCCAGGGAGAAATTGGGGTCCAAGCACAAGCACCCAAGCATAAGCACCCAAGCACCACATCATCTACCAGGTGCAAAGCATTGTGCTTGGTGTTGGAGCAGTTAGAAAGGTAAAGAAGCCTTTTTCATCAAGAAACTTATATTCCAGTGTAGTTGTGAGTAGATCAAATACATTACAAATTAGAATATGAAATGGACCTAAGGGTAGGTCAAACGGCTGTGAGGTTAGATGAGCAAAGATTCACTTCTAGGTGAGGGGATTGAGAAAGACTTTCTGAAAGAGGAAGCTCTTGAGCTGGTCCTCCAAAGAGTGGTTTCAGCAGGTGGAGATGGGGCAGAGGGTTGGACCTGGACAGGTTCAGGCGTTTTAGGGGTCAGTATGAGCAAAGACAGGGAAACAGAAAGTTGGAGCAGGAGAGTATGGTGAGTAAGGCAGTTTGGCCTGAGTTTAGAAGGCACAAGAGGGAGCAGCAGCATAAAGGAAATCTAGAAAAGCAGGCCAGAAGCAGGCCTCACTCAGACTTTTTTGATGCCCCATGCAAGGTGAATATCAGCTCTTCCTAACTGTGCCTTTTTCATGTACCACATTCTCTATTCCCAGACACACAGAGTCTTGGGTCACCGTCCAGTTTCCCAGGGCAGTGGCTGGCCCTGGTTGGACTTTGACTTTGGCAACATTACTTTTTTTTTTTTTGACAGCTCAAACATCATGATATAGTAGGAAGAGAACCAGATTTAAAGTCAGGGAGCCCTGGGAGGCATCTGTTGGTACAATGGATAGAACACCAGGTCTGGAGTCAGGAAGACCTGAGTTTAGATCTGGCCTTAAACATTTAATAGCTGTATGACCCTGGGCAAGTGGCTTAACCCTGTTTGCCTCAGTTCCTCATGCATAAAATGAGCTGGGGAAGGAAATGGCAAACCACTCCAGTATCTCGGCCAAGAAAACCCTGGAGTCACAAAGAGTCAAACCCAACCGAAAAATGACTGCACAACAAAGTCACTTACCTCTCTAAGCCTCAGTTTCCTATCTGTAAAATGGAGGTAATAATACCACCTTCTTCTTTAGGCTGTTGTAAGAACTGAATGAGATGTTGTATGTAAAGCGCTTTGGAATAATGAATCAATAAGCATGTATTAAGTGCCTGCAACCTATTAGGTGCTAGGAATATAAAGACATAAAAAACTGAAACTATCCTTGTTCTAAGTAGCTTATGTTATGTTGGGGGAAGACAATATATACATATATAAGGAGAGGGTCTAGACCTGGGATTTCACTGGTAAAGGTAACTCTTAGATGAGGAAATTCTCTCTACCTATGCAGGTTGGCCTCTTTTAGATATTTGCCTAGGTCATTAAGAGGATTTTCCCAGGGTTAGTTGGCCAGCATGTGACAAAAGTAGGCCCTGAACCCAGATCTTCCTGATTCTAAGGCTAGCTCTCTAGCCAATAAACCATACTGTCTCTCATATTAATTATTATGATTATACCCAGAGATTCCACAGCACATTAAAATTGGATTGTCAGGACTGAGAATCTAAGCTATAGAGTATCCTCTTAATTCTCCTGGTCTCACTTCCTTATTTCATCAAATCCAATATATTGTCCTATAACTGGAAGCCCGTTGCTATTTACTTATCGTATTCTAACTTATTTTATATTTATTTGTATACATATCTCTCTTGAGACTGTTGATCTTCTTGAGGGTAGAGATTGTCTTATTCATCTTTGTATTCCCTTGTACCAGTGCCTAGCATGGTGACTGGTACATAATAGATACTTAATACATGTTTGTTGAATAAAGGAATTAATTAATGGAGAAGAACTATAAGGAACACTTTAGCAAGGAATGGCATTGGATTCTCATTCCTGAAAAGGTATAGAATCTCAAGGAAAATAATGAAAAAAAGGAGGGTAAAAAGACCTCAAATTATATTAAAAAGTGGTAATCATCAAAACTATTTGTTATCAGTTATTAAAACATAGAAAAGTGGAACAATGTTAATAGATTAAGGAAGAATGAGAAATAATCAAACTTAAAACTCAGTGTTTGATAAACTCAAGAATGTAAATTATTTGTGGAAGAGCTCCCTGTTTGTTAAACTTTCTGGGAAAACTAGAAAGCAGTTTCTCAGAATTTATGTTTAGACCAGTATTTTACACCATATACAACAATAAACTTAAATTGGTTAAACCTCAATATTAAAAGTCACATATTTAAAAAGAAAAAAAATCTAGAAGAAAAAAAGATTCAGTGAATTTCACAGCTATGACTAGAGGGAGAATTCTTAACTAAATAAAGGATAGAGATGATTATCAAAGATAAAATAGGCAATTTCTATCACATGGAATTGAAAAGCTTCCCCCTTTTACGTACAAAATCAATGGAAAACTTTTGCTGGGAAAAAATATTTTACTTTGAAATATCTGTGTTGAGGGTCTAATATCTAAGACACATAGGCAATGAGTAGAAGCATCCAGACCCAGAGTCATTCCCCAATTTATAAATGGCCAAAGGATTTAAACAAATGATCCTCAAAAGAAAAATGGCACACTGCTAACAACTGTATGAAAGATTCTTCAAAATCACTAATAATGAGAGATTCAAACCAAAACTAATCTGAGGTTTTACCTCACTCCCAGAACATTGGCAAAAATGACAAAAGATGAGAATAGTCAGTTTTGGAAGGGTTATATAGAAAGATGGGCACACTAATATAGTATTAGTGGAGTTGGGAATCAGTCTTATAATTCTAGAAGATGATTTGGAATTGTGCTAAAAAAGTAGCTAAAATATCCTTGCCCTTTGACACAAAGATCTTACTGCTATGTGCATATATATGTATATATGTACATGTATGTATACACACATATAATTGTTATACATTTGTTATACATTTATATGTTATATATGGATTATTATACATAGAATTAACATATATTTGTTTATTGGTCCTGACTTATGCTTTCGTCAGTTGGGGAAACTCCATTCACTAGACTGGCAACTCATTGGCAGCTTTCAGTCTTATTGGCTTTCTTGGTGAACTAAAGTGTTATTTGTCTTTCCTGTGGGCAAACAACCAGTATATTTCACAGATAAGACTCAAATCTAGGTCTTCCTCATTTCAAACTCAGTTCTTTTCCCAACATATCATGTGGCCTCTCATATAGCTTTTACAAATAATATTGTTGATATTTTGTATTAGTATAATATTATGTTATTAGTTCATCAGAGAGTTGCAAAACAAAGTATTTTGTGATGTCTTCAGGGGAAGGTCATCACTAGAGTCTGGGAAGGAGAGCATTTCATGTCTAGGAAATAACATGAGTGAAGATACAGAGGAATATAAGATATGCATAATTTGATGGACGATTCCTAGATCCAATTTAGCTAGAGCACAGACTGCATGCTGGCAGGAATATTAGCTAAGGCTACACAGGTAGGTCAGGGTCAGATTGTGGAGGATCTTGAATGCCAGGCAAAGGAACTTGATGGGATCTCTCTACATAAGAACGATTAGTTTGGGAACTATTTGAAAGATGAGTGAGAGGCAGAATACAGGGGAAGCAGGAAGACCTGGTAGCAAGCTTTTACAAGTTGTTTCATTAATTGTGTTTGGTTCTGAGCACCTGGCACAGTTCCTGGAACATAGTAGGTGCTTAGTAAGCACGGTGGATAGAATACTGGGCTTGGAATCAAGAAGACTCATCTCCATGATTCCAAATCTGGCCCCAGACACTAGCTGTGTGACCCTGGGCAAGTCACTTAACTCTGTTTATTTTAGTTTCCTTGTCTGTAAAATGAGTTGGAAAAGGAAATGGCAAACCACTGCAGTAGCTTTGCCAAGAAAACCCTAAATGAGGTCTGGAATACTGAATAGTACTGTACAGTACACAGTACAAACATCAGAGGTAGGATTTGAACCCAAGCACTCTGACTCTAGGAGGAGAGAAATGTGAGAAACATTGCGGAGATAGAATCAATAGGACCTGGTAAACTGGGTGGATATGAAATTTGAGAGAGTGCATTTTTCCAATTTTGTCTTTCAGTCACATTCACTTCTGCTGTCTTTGTGTTTCTGAATAACTGAAGGATAAACATAATGTTTCATACACGTTGGCCCAGTAAGTTAAAGTAAAAAAAAAACAACAAAATAAAACAAAACAGACAAAGCTGTAAATGGCCAGATTTCAAAAGGTTGTGGTTATTGTTAGAGGAGCATTTGAACACAAAAGTGTCCTTTCTCATGATTCCAGAGAGAAAGGCCCTGTTTGGGGTGCAACTTTCCAAGTCTTGGGCCTGGCAGAGAACCTGTGTGTAGATCACTTTGACTAGGTTTAAACTGTTTGTTGATTTTTAGTCACAACTGGAACTCAAGAATGTTTCCACATTATACACTGATAACAAGAATATAGTCGTCTTCTTCCAAGAGAAAACCAAACATTCAAAATCAATAGAAGCATAATTCCTGTAGAGGGAGGGTAAATTCATCTTTTTCACATTAAGCTTGCATAGATCAAATTTTCTTCCAGCAGGGGATTGTAAATGTCAAAACATCACCTAATGATGCTTTATTTTTTCATGTTAAAATTTATTTTCATGATTTGAATGTCATGTATTTAAAAAACATGTGACTAGCTGGGCTGCTATTTTGTGATGGAGTCCTTTGCAGTTTTTGACTCTGTAGGATAGAGGCAGGGAGGGAAGAGGAGGCCTGACATAATTTCATAGTACAGTGGTACAGTCACAGAATGGTCTTAGAAAGAGGCAGAAAACCTGGGTCCTAGACTGCTCTTGGCCATGGACCAATTCTATGACTTTGGTCAAGTTATCTTGCCAGCCTGAACCTCAGCTTCTTGTAAAATGGGGATAATTATGCTTGTATTTCTGTACTTCTCTGCGTTGTGGGGAAAGTATTTAATATACTGTGAAATACTATGCAAACTCTTCTGCAGCTTAGTATTATTATATTAAGAGACATATTTATCACAATCCTGAAGAAAATTAATGGCAGAGAGGGAAACTAAAGCAGGGCTGGATAAACTCCACAAAAAATGTAGGCAAAGTTCTCATAATGACAGGCCATTAGGCAAACTTTCCAAGGGTAGTGGGTTAACATTGCTTCTTTCTTATCTCATCTATATATCTATATTTTTATCTCTACCCATATCCACATCTGTCTATATCTATACCTCTACCTATATGTATATCTACACCTATACCTATATCTATACCTATTACTATACCTATATCTATATGTATATCTATACCTATAACTATACTTATCTCTATCTTGATCTCTATCTGGAATCATCTGTATTTTCAGATTAAAACACATACACATTTGTATGCACACATTTGCATATCATATATACATTTATTTATATAGATAAACATATGTATAGGTGTACGTGTTTTATTGATGTTCTTCAGAAAACACTATTGCCACTTCCCAGTAATAGTGGCATCCCCTTAGAACCCTTCGTCACAGCAAAGCATTCAAGCAAACTAAACCAAAACACTGATCATGTCCAGCAGTGTGTGCCTTGCTCTACACGTGTAGTCCATCACTTCTCTGAGGAGAGGAGGGAAGCATGTTTCCTTATCAGGGACCTGGAGTTAAGACAGTTTTTCCCATTGACAAGAGTTCTGATGCCTTTCATTGTTGTTTTCATTTGTATTGTAGCGGTCATTGTGTTAATTGTTCTCTTGGTTCATGCAAGCATTCTCATTTTTTCCTGAATAATCATCATCATCATCATCATCATCATAATAGCTAGCATTTATATGCTTTTAAGGTTTGCAACACACTTTATATATATTATCTTAATTTGGATAATGATTACTTCATATCTGTTATTTCTTTTTAAAAATTAATCAATTAATTATTCAATTTTTAGTTTTCAACATTCACATAAGATTTTGAGTTTTAAATTTTCTCCTCCTCTCTCTCCTCACCCCTGCCCAAAACAGTGTGAAATCTGATATAGGCTGTACTTATATATTCATTTAAAGCATATTTTCACATTAGTCATGATGTAAAGAAGAATTAGAACTAATGAGAGGAACCACAAGCTAGAAGAAACAAAACAAAGCAACTACAGAAAAGGAGGGGAAATAGTATGCTTTCAACTGCATTCAGATTCCATCGTTCTTTCTCTGGACGTGGATAGCATTTTCTATCATGAGTCTTTTGGAATTGTCTTAGATCTTTGCATTGTTGAGAAGAGCTAAGTCTGTCAAAGTTAGTCATTGCACAATGTGGCTGTTACTGTATTCAATGTTCTTCTGGTTTATTTGTTATTTCTTATGGTGCAGTTATATTCAAATACATTCATTTGCTACAATTTGTCCAGTTATTACCCAACTGGTGATCACCCACTTTGTTTCTAGTTTTGTTTTTTGTTTTTTGCTCTTGCAAAAAGTTTTACTTTGAGTATTTTTGATTACGTGGATCCTTTCCTTCTAACACTGTGTATGTATATGTATGTGTGTGTATGTATCTCTCTCTCTCTCTCACTTCTTCTGTCTCTCTTTCTCTGTCTCTCATTCTGTGTGTGTGTGTGTGTTGTGTGTGTGTGTGTGTGTGTGTGCATGCACGTGCGTGCGTGCGTGCGTGCTTCCCTGGGAAAATATTCAGTTGTCCTCTGGAATAGAATGATTTTGAATGAAGGCCAGACCAACATGCATGGACTATGGAAGGGAGCACACATTTTCTATGCATGCTTAACAAAAACCATAAAACTTGTTGTAGGTAGAGGGAGTAGAGGGCAGAAATAGAAACATCAATATGTCAAGGTTCTGTGATTTCATAGGTTTGCTAGACCTTTGGACAGAAGCTTAGCTAGATTAATTGAGTAGTCAATCGTCATAAAGGTAGTAAGTGTTAGAAGCAAGATTTCAACATGGGTTTAACTGACTGTGGGTTCAGCATCTGCTATGGAATACTGACTCTTTCTCAGAGAGAAAAAGGAGAAAAATAATAAAAGTTTTGGTGAGTAAGAGTGAACAAGTATGATTCTTCCTCTGCCTTTAGGCAGGCTGAGATAGAGGTAGATCATTGGCTTGGTGGATACAATGCTGGGCCCTGAGTCAGGATAACCTATATTCACATCTGGCCTCAGACACTTACAAGTCACTTAACATCTGTTTGCCTCAGTTTTCTCAAATGTAAAATGTGGATAATAATAGCACCTACCTCTCAGGGTTATTATAAGGATTAAATGAGATAATGTTAATAAAGCACCTGGCATTAGTAGGTACTAACTGAATGTTTATTCCCTTCCTTTTGGGAAGTGACTGATAGTTTGACGTAGACTCCTTCTCTTCAGTCCCAGCTAGGCCTTGGAACAATCAAAGGCGGGATTTCTTTTCAGTGAGAGAACATGATCTGTGGTGATAAAATAAGCATGATCGCTGCTAGATTTCAGGTTAAAAAGTGTACGTTAGTGACCAGAGATCTGTGGAGAGATCTGAACTTCCAAGAGAAGGGTCCTTTGCCAAGCACCGCTGCGTGGGTTTCTATGTGCCACCCAGCTTAAACCTGTGTTAATGGAGCAGCTAGGTGGCATAGTGGATAGAGCACCAGCCTGGAGTCAGGAGGACTTGAGTTTAAATCTGACCTCAGATACCTGATACTTACTAGCTATGTGGCCCTGAACAAGTCACTTAACCCTGATTGACTAGCCAAAAAACAAAAACAAAAACAAAAACAAAAAAACCCAAAACAAAACAAAAAAATCTAACATGCACACAAAACCCTATATTAACCCCTTGAGTGTCTATTTGAAACAGGGGGAGGGAGGGTGCTAATTCTTGTGGTAACTCATTATGCTGACTCGAATGTTTGAATCTTCTAAATATAGGAGGCTTGTTCACTTATATTTCTGGAGCCAATTACTTTGGTGAGATTGTGGAATGGATTGGCTATGCCATGGCAACCTGGTCATTCCCAGGCCTGGCCTTTGCCTTTTTCTCGTTATGTTTTCTTGGAAAACAAGCTTATTACAGTCACAGGTAAGCCCCAAGAGGAAATGTTTTCTTTTATACAACTTTATTTCCTGTAAATGCACTTGGTTAGTAGCAAAGTTGAATATTTGGTGTGATTTAGGACAGGGAAAGTAAAATTTAGCTTTCTAGGTTTTTAATTTCTTTGAATATATGGATAACAAAGATTAGAGTCAGAATGACAAAACTCTTTCTTTTTGAGGTGAGGTTAAACGCACATGGACAGCTAGGTGACACAGTGGATAGAGCACCAGGCCTGGAGTCAGGAAGACCTGAGTTCATATCCTGTCTCAGGCATTTACCAGCTGTGTGAGACTGGGCAAATCACTTAACCCTGTTTGTCTCAGTCTGTAAAATGAGCTGCAGAAGAAAATGACAAACTACTCCCGTACTTTTGCTGAGGAAAACTCTGAATGAGATCAGGAAGAGTTGGGCATGACTCAACAATAAGAGCAACAAAATAAACTCATAAACAAATGGTTTTGTATCAAGATTTCCTTGATCAAATATTTCTTCAAAATTCTACTTGATGTATTTGAGAGGTGAAAGTCTCACTGGACTCTGGAACACAGTTGGATGAATATGTCCAGTTCTGAGTATCACAACTTAGGAAAGCTACTGAGAAGCTGGAGGATGACCAAGATGGTGAAGGGTTTTGATTTCATGCCACTTGAGGACTGGCTGAAGGAAACGGGAATGTTTAGCCTGGAAAAGACTTCAGTGAGCCATAATCTCTGTCTTTGAGTATTTGAAGGATGTCATGGAAAAAGAATAGAGTTGTTTTATTTGGTCCTAGAGGGTAGAATCAGGAGCAGCGGGTGGAAGGGTTAGGTGTGGGGTGGACTAGATTATTTTTTCAGATATGAGTGGAGCTAAATGACTTTTGAGGTCCTTTCCACAGCTCTGAGGTTCTGTAGTTCTGTTCTGTTGCAGTTATGGGTGATTTCAATGAATAAAAAAGCATTTGTTAAGCACTTAATTTGTTTCAGAAACCACACTGAGCTCTGGGGATACAAACAAGGAAGACAGTTCTTGCCCTCAAGGAGCTTACCTTCTGGTAGGAAAAGATGACACATATAGAGGAATGGTGGATATGGAAGAGTGTTCTAGACAGGGGAAGTCATAGAATGATGATTGCAGGCACAGGACAATTGATTGACAAATATGTTCTTCTAGAGAATGGTAGTGTTGGTCTCAGAACTCGAGTTGGAAACAGAGGGGATGGTTGGTAGGTTGGTACATGAACTTGGTGATATGGCAGAGAAAAAACCAGGAAGCAGCATTGAGGGCCTGAGGTCAGGCATGATCAGGTGAATGTTCACCAGCAAAAGCTTAGGGTCATGGGGATGAGACTGTCAGTTCTGGATGGAGGTAGAGGGTAGAGAGCAATCAGTATGGCATGGAGGTGGCTGGGAAGTGTCAAAGAAGATCTGAGATTTCTAGTCAAACTGTTCATTAGTGCCTTGTGACAAGAATAGGTACATTTAATTGGCTGGAGTCATTGTCTCAGTGTGTGTGTGTGTGTGTGTGTGTATGCCTTGTGGCTAATGAAACTCATATTAATCTTATAGACTAGTAAGATACTAAGGCTGGAAGGGATCTTAGATTTTTGGTGTAAACTGTTCATTTTCTAGATGAGAAAACTGCAGCTAAGTGGTTTGTTCATGTAGTGAGTAGTACTGGTTTTTAAACCTGTTCATTTTGACTTCCAAATCTACTCTTTCTAATGTCTAACAATTTTTAATGGAGTAGAGATTACAGAATCAAGTTACAGAGTAAAAAGATCAGTGTGCTTAAAAATACAGAGGAAAAATCCACTGTCAAGTACAGTGGAACAATTACCTTAATTTTCCAGACACAACAATCAGTTCCTCCACCAGTCTTCTTCTCAGGTTCCCTTGTGGGATGGAGATGATACTGGGCTCTCAAAAAAGCTGTGGAGATGAAGAATGAACTCTGCTAGGTCCCACCAAGATAGAGGCTCTTCAAGTATAGGTCCAATGATAAAGAGTAGGACTTTCATCTGAAGCGCAATCTCATTAATTTCAGAAGGGTTCAGCACCATAAAGCTGACCACCAATTTTTTTTTTCCAGCCACAGCAACTTATGATAAATGTCTACTAAGGCAGAGAGGGTTCTGTGGTCTGAATTGAGGGAGGGGATAGTCACAAAGATGAGATCATATATCTTTGAAATAAAATCTATGGAAGTAAGCCTATTTCTTTTAATACATCTTAAGCTAGCCATGTTTTTATTGGTATTCATGTTAAACTATTGGCTTTGACTGAATTTGCAATCTGCTAAAAGTCATAGGTTTATTTCTCATGACCTGCTGTCGAATCAGTACTCTTCATCATATACTCATGCAATTGATTTTTAAAACTTATGTATAGGACTTAATATTTATCCCTATTAAAGATCATCTTTCCATTGGGTTTAGACAGTTGAGATCTTTGGGGATCTTTATTCTGTCATATAGTGTATTAGCTCTACTTACTGGCTTTATGCCATCAGTAAAACTGCTAAATGTGCCATCTATGCCTTCATTAAGTTCCTTATAAAAATGTTGAATAGAAAAGGGTCAAAGATAGACTGATGGAGAGTTCCCTCAAGGCTGATCGATTTCCTTTAGCTAAATTGTTTAACCTGGTGGGAATCCACTAAACTATGCTACCAGCAGCTTTATCTTGTCCTCGTTTGTGTACTCTCCACTCAGACTAGCTCCAACTCCTGCTTGTTGCCTCTTTATTGTACAAATAGGAAGGCACATGTACAACTTGTAAGTACTTGTGACTCATCAATTAGACCATATTTGGAATTTTCACATAAATAACTAAAATTAACCCCTTCCCTCTTTTTTGGCCAGTTCAGTGTAGCAAGAAAACTTGCCTGGAAAGGAGATGGTTTAGAGCTGGGCATTTCCAGGATTTTTGAATGGCCTCTGGTGGTCAATGCATTCCTAAGGCTAGATTTTAAAGATTTAGCTTGTCTACAGGTCAGTGAATCACAGAGCTATGATGAATACTAGAAGGATTTCCTTGACTCAGAAATGATGTATTATCAGAAATGAATTGAGATTTCAGGGGGAAGTCCTGGGTAAAATAAGAGTTCATACTTTAAATTGTTATTGGTTATTTGGTTATATATTTTTTGGCTTTAAGTGCTGTGCAAAGGAGAAAACATAAAGGCTTTGGTGCCTGAGAGAAGTAGGGAGGGAGCACAAGGGCAGAATGAGGAGGCTAAAGGTGTATAAGTTTAATTTTCATGTACTTTATGATATTATCTATGCTCCTCCCTGGCCATGATTATCTGGGTCTCTATTTTCTGCCTCACCTAGATCAAGCTGACAATTTTACATGGATATTAACTCCTCTCCTTGCTTTGGTTTGTTTTATAAGAAGAAGCCAAATGACCAAGAGTCAGAGTGTAGGTAATGAAGCACAAGAGAAGGGCCTAAAGCCCTGGGAGAGCTACCTAGTCTAATCTGACCTCCTCATTTTACAGATAAGACTGAAATTTAGAGATTTGTCCAGATTTATCCAGAGTCATGCAGCCAGTGGAAATGGCAAAGCCTAGATTCAAATCCAGGTCTTCTGATTCCAGATCCAATATTCCTTCCACAAAATAACATCCCTCTATTGTGTGTCATTCTGTGGCAGTTATTTGTGGAATGACTCCTGAATAAAAAAGGGTGGGCTACAGTGCATTAATTCTCTCATTCACCCTCCTTTTGCATGAGGGAGCAGAATATCAGCATGCTTCATTTGTCTCTTGCCCATCACCTGCCCAAAGTATTAATTATGTTTCTTCTTTTCATCTAGGTTCTATCTCAAGAAGTTTCAAGACTACCCTAAGTCTCGGAAAGCCCTAATTCCTTTCATCTTCTAAAACCACAGATGATAGAAAAGAATGGAAAACTTTCAAGCTGCTGAACTTCACAACTGAGTCACACTGTAAATAATAATAATGATGATAATAATAATAGCCTTTATATAGGGCTTTTACATTTGCAAAGTGCTGTACAAGTATTATCTCCTTTGATCCTCATAACAACCTGTAAGGTAGATGCTATTAATATTACTGTTTTACAGATGAGTTAACTGAGTCTGAGAGAAGTTAAGTAAAATTTGCTAGTTAAGTGTTTTAGGAAGGGTTTACAATTTAAATCTCCTTAACTCCGGGTCTAGCACTCTAGCCACTGTGTAATAGCTTACATAGCAGATGGCTTGAATTCACTGAGGTAAGCCTTTTAGTCTAACGACCAGAGGCCCAATTACATCTGAGTGGTGTACCTTTCCATCTTGCTGGCCACACTCAACATCCAACATTAATGTCACCATCTGCTTTCAAAGCCTGATCAATGTTCCTTCCCAAATGGGCACTCTTTATGGCCTCTTCTGAAGCATAAAGTTCTCTCTCTATATATATGTGTGTATATATACATATAAATATATATGTACATATATACATTCATATGTATGTGTGTGTGTATATATATATATACACATATGTATACACACACACACACATATGTATATATGTCCTCTTGCTGGCCCAGCTGCAAAGACTTATTGGCTAAATCAACCCTAACCAGCTCTCTTCATGAAATTAAAAAGTGAAATTGACGGTTAAAAACATTCAGGATCCCAGTGCCCCCTCCCCCTTCAAAGAAAACTCTGTGTGTGTGTGTGTGTGTGTGTGTGTGTGTGTGTGTGTGTGTGTGTAGAGAATGGAGAGATCATCACCTCTCATTCATTACTGCGTGAACACTTCAAAGATCTACGATTTCACTGATGTGGGTATGCCTTCCACCAATGGAGGTGACTTTGTGACTTAGTAGCTAATCTTTATGGGTTGCTTTTAGAAAGGCAGTGTGGCATAGTGAACAGAGTGCTGATCAGGAAGATCTGGGTTTGAATCCCGCCTCCGTTATTTGCTAGCTATGTGACTGTGGATAAGTCACTTGACCTCTGTACCTCATTTTCCTCACCTGTAAAACGAGATGCTTAGACTAGGTGGCCTTTATGGTCCTTTTCTGTTCTATGAAAGCAATTGCCTTCTTGTGACCAGCTCTCTGACGCTGAAACTCTCCAAATTAATATAGGCCTATAGACTATTCCTTGGAGAATATCTAGGGCACCTGTTGCTGACCCTGGCCCCGGGCAGTTGCAGAATAAGGACAGTGGCAGAAGTGAAAAAGGAAGAAACATTAATGTCAAAATTTGGATAGTTTTTGAGTTTTCTCCTTCCCTAACCCTCCTGCAAAAACATACTTTTTTCCTCAAGGAAACTTTTAAAGTAAGCTTTTGGTGGATTATTTCATTGGAAATGAGGATTATAGAACAAAGCATGGGTCTCAACTACCTCCATTAGAGAGAGGTCTATAACTGTAAAAGGAGGCAGTGGGTGTTACAGGGATAACCAAAGATGATTGGCATCCATGGTATGTCAAGAAATCTATAGGAAGTATCTTGGGTGTATCTTTTGTGAAAATTTGTGAAAATCTTTTGTGAATAAGGATAGTGGTATAATACAAGAGGGTATTGGTGGGTACCCCCATAGATGATTATCACTAATCTGTTTAGAGATGATAATGAATACTGCCCCTTTACTTAAAAAGTACCTCAAAATGTTTAAATTTAGTTAAAACAGGAATAAATGTTTAATTTAATGTCTTTATTATTACCTTCATTTCCAAATATACCCACCCCTCCCTTCTAACTGTAATTCAAGCCTTGTAATGAAGAATAAAATAATAAAAAAGCAGTTAGGCAAAACCGACCAGTGCAACAATGATTAACAGTATATGCGGCATTCTACGTCCATAGTCTCCCACCTCTGCAAAGTTGAGTAGGAGGTCCTGCTGTACCCTTATTAACTATAAATTAGATATCTTTTCGCAGAGAGAAACTTGTACTCATTCACGAATACAATGAGGCTTTACCCAATGTCATGCCAAGTCAAGGTTTCCGCCATGGCCTGGGAATCTATATGAATCTTCACAATTCCATTTGGAGATATCATCACCCTATCCATCTCTCACTCCTCCAAACACACACACACAATACATATGAATACATACATGCACACACACACACACACACGTACACCATTGTCATGATTTGTAGCTCAGATGTTCATAATCTCCAGAAATGACCCTTGATGCCTGACTGGCAAGTACAGAAGTGCCAGGCACCTTATCTAGGGCAGGTCCTCTTTCCAATTTTAGAGAGTGCTGCTGGAATTCTGTAAATAGGAGGAAAGTGTACTTTGAAGGAAATGAGTCATTCAACTGAAATACTGGCTAATTTACTTTCCTGGGAGAAGTAGTAGAAGAAGTGATGTTGGCCTAAGGCTCAGAAGCCTCAGGTGTTAGTGCTGACTCTGGCCCTTTATTAGCTGTAAGACCTTGGACAAATCTCTGAAGCTCCATGGGTTTTAGTTCCCTCCTGGAGGAAAGAAGAGGTGGAGATGGAGAACAGATATGGAGAGAAGAGTCACTCAACCAACAAACACTTATTAGGCCACAACTATGAGAGGCAGGGTGGTATTGTGACTAGAAAGCTGGATTTGGAGACAGAAAGACCTGGGTTCGAGCCTTGTGCCTAACATATGTTGGCTGGGTGACTCGGGAAAATCACTTACCCTCTTTCCTGAGGATATGCTGACCTGCATTGGTACAGCATGTTTCCTTGTGGAGAGTTCCCTATACCAGTGACATCACAAGTCCAATCCCTCTTCCTAGGTGCTAGACATTGGAGATACAAAGACATCCTACCCTAAAGGAACATATTCTATAGGGGAGATAATATTACATGTATGAGTGTGGCTTGCCTGCCCTGCCTATCTCACAGAACAGTAAGGATCAAATGAGCTGATACGTCATATGACTGTGCATTGTAAACCACACAACTTATAGGTAAGATAGGTGGATGACAAAAATAAAGCTGATGGAAAGCACTGAACAGAGAGGCCCTTATGAACTTTGCTTGCCCCAGATGACCAGCAGCACCTCCTCCAGGGGGATGGACATTACAAAACTCTCTAAAATATTAATTTAGAATCATAGAATCTCAGAATTGGGGAGGTCCTTTATGGGATCATGTACTCTTAACTTCCTCTAGAGGAGGGGTTCTTTAACTTTTTATGTCATGAACATCCTTGGCAGTCTGGTCTAGCCTATGGAGTCATCAGGAGGGTGTTTTTAAATGCACAAAATTAAATCCATAGGACTACTAAGTTTATGAATCTCAGGTTAAGAAACCCTAATCAAGGGTACCCTTTTGGAGAGGGGCCTCTAGAAGATTCTTGATATTGGGGAGACTTGAATTTTTACAGAAGGCATTAAGTACCCATCAGCAATTTGCAGGGAAATCAGAATTTCAGCAAATGCCTGGCATCTGAATGTGAATCTGGGGGAATCTAGTGCCCAGAGCAAGAACTCAGTCCACGAACAACATAGAAGATTTGGTGGGCCTGGAAAGAGTGTTACTTGTTGGGGAAATGTCCATGCAAACGAGGGTTTTGTTGAATAATAAATATCTCTCAAAGATATTGCTGTTTCATGGTTTTATTTGGCATAAATAAAAAAAATTGCACAGACCTCTGGAGAATATTGCAAAGTTGTTGAGCTAAGATTCCTCCTTCCTCCCTTCTCCTCCAACCCCCCCCCAAAACAAACAGACAAACAAACAAACAAACAAACACATTCCTTGGATTATTTTGGTGTGGCTTCCTTTCTCTTACCATCTGACTCTCTTTTTCAAGCCTTCTGGAAATAAGGTGTGAATACTTGGAGCTACTCTGAGTGTAGCTCAGAGGCCAAAGCAAGGTAAATCAGTTAGTGGAGAACCTTCAAGGTCCCTTCTATCTCCAAATGATCCTAGGAAACTGTTTTTGGTTTCAGTTCTTGCTGTTGTAAATATTTTTACAGTGTATTTTGGTAACCAAAAAACAAAACCACTGTCCATTAAACAACTTTTAATATGGCCTTTCTAAAAGGATCCTGTTAAAATATTATACTTGGAAATTTTGACGAATTCATGATTTCATTGATGTGGCTACTTCTTTGATGGATGCACCTCTTAACCATGTAAGTCTCCTCATCCTGTGACATTCTTCTTGTCCAGATGTTATCCCTGGCCTGTGGAGGAGGATTGGGGTAGGAGATTTCCCAGAATGGGACTTTGGGCTTAAAGAGACTTGGATTCAATTCGGGGGGGCCTGATCCAAAGAGAAAGGGTTCAGACCTTTTCTCAGATTTCTGGTTCAGTATGCCCCAACTCCAAGATCCTAGGGGAAATCTTTTAAATAAAATTGAGGTATGGCTCATGTTTAGGGTCTCCCCAAAGGAATTAACAGGGTCCTTATTATTATTCAATATCAGGTGTTCAGAAATCAGGTGGAGGACAGTTATTTATTTCCTCAACCACACAAAAAAAATCCTTAAAACCAAAGATTCATGAGGATCCATTAACACACACTTTAAACATGAAATACTTTATTAAGGCTGCTGAACAGATATTCAGGCCATTTACCTCAGATCTGTACCACCCAAGCAATTGACAAGGTACTGATTTCTTGGTAACAACATTTTGTTTTCTAAACAATTGGAATACAGTTGTAGGAATCACCTTCATTGCCAGCAGATACCCCTGGAACTCTGGAACTTTCTGGTTTATAAGATAATTACCAGGGCTGGAAATATTAATCTCTTAGAATTGCTGTTCATAGGTCTGGTCCAAAAGTAAAAACTGTATATTTCTGTGTCTCAGTTTCCTTGTCATCTGTAAAATGAAGAGGTTAGTCTGGACCAGGAGGTCTTAAGCTGGAATCCAGGAACTTGTTTTTGTTTTTTATAACATTTTATTTTTTCCCAATTACATGTGAAAACATTTTTTAACATTTTTTTTAGAATTTTGCATTCCAAATTCTTTCCCAACCCTCCCTTCCATTCTTCCTGAAACAGCAAGCAATTTGATATATAGGAACTTATTTTTGAATATTCTG